CTATGTGGTGGTTTGGCATTGGTAGAAATAAGGTAGGCCCACCATGTTCAATCTTTAACAAGTCCCATTTGAAACAGTTAACTAATATTGATGGATAGGATGACGGTGTAGTGAGTTAATGTAAGGTGCCTATCACCTCGGCACCTGATCTAGAAAAGGGCTTAAGCACATGTATAACTTTAGGCACAAAGCCCAGATCTTTACAGGTATTTAGGCGTTAAATTATTGCACTCAGCATTGCATTTAGACGTCTAAAACTAATTTTCAAAAGGGACATAGGCACTTAGGAGTCAAAATTCCATTGAAGTAATCAGGATTTAGGCTTCTTAAATCCATTTTGAAAATGTGATCTGGGCTCCTAAATCACATAGGCATTGCAGTGCTGAGCACAGCAATGCCTCAAATGCCTTTAAAAATGTTGGCCAAAACGAATACTATGTGACATGACTCCTTACCTTCACTGGAAAGACCTACACGCTTAAAGTTACACAAGTGCTTAAGTTCTTTGCTGCACTAGGGTCTGAGCTCCAATGCCAACCCCTTCTTATTCAAACATTACACCAAAGCCTAAAAAATATTTCTACCATATATTGGCTTTTCAAATAAGCCTTACCTTCCAAAAACAAATGGATGGTATTATTTACTAGATCATCACTAACAATGCGCTCAGTGCCATACAAAGCATGAAAGAGAAGGCCTCATATAGACAATTAAAGGACATCTTCAACATTGGTATAGGAAAGCCCTCTCCCTTCTCCTTGGATATCAAAGAATAGCACAAGTACACTAGAGGCGCTCTGAACTCAGAAGAAAAGCCCAGTTTTATTTTTTTCTGACAGTTACTATGGGTAACTGTGGAATTTATATTTCAGTTTCTTACGCATTTAACACCTTGACAATGTGCCACAGAGCTGTGGAGAAGCCTGGTGAACATAAGTCTTTCTTCACCAGCCGTTTGATTGTTGACCGACATCAAGCCATATGACTCAATCACATCAGGATGGTTCTAAACCTTTCAAAGTTTCCATTAAATTCCTTCTTCTCTATTACTGTAGTTAAGTAATTCAGTTTGGTGGATATTTGGCACAAAATTTGACATACATCAGCAAACACAGTGATTTTCTTACAGCTGCTCCTAGGTTCCCCCACAAAAATTCAGAGTAAAATGTTGCAGGCTTTCCCTCTGCTGTGGTGCCCATACTCTGGATAGCTTTGAAATAACTGTCACACAGCTGCTGTTCGACCACAACATTAACAGCGTACATACCAACCAAAAGAGGACTGATGAATTCAGTTGCCAGGGGTGAGGTTTTTAAAATTGCAGGGGGGGGGGGAGGCGCGAGGGAAAGAAACCAAAGGAAAAAGTTACACACACAAAACCTTTTCCTTACCCTCTCAGTCCTCCTCTTCCAAATAATGCTGTAGTAAACCAGCTGTTGGTTACTGTCTCTTCGTGGGGGAAATTGCTGTCACATTACAGGATTCCACTTCTCACAAAACAAACCCAGAGGAAGTGGAGATTTCACATAAGCGTTTCTCTCAACAGTGGAAGAAAGAGATGCTTGAAAACATAAAAGCCAGTTTGTGATGGGCACAAAGAATGTGTCTGATGCCAGGAAAAAGTACATGTATATTTCAAGGAAGGTTATCTTAGGACTGCTTTTATTTCACTCTGTTGCCCCCTAATAGATGGGAGGGATTCACTTTCTTGAAATTACTCTTCCAAGACAAAAAGAGAACAGACTAATGTATGTTATTAAAATAAAACAACTGAGACAATGTAACTGACCAAATATATTCACAGAAAAGGAGTGGAAACAGGGAAGTTGTCTTGCGTGATGGAGTTGCACAGATAATGGAGAGGCTGCACAGGAAGATCCAGAGTAGCGCTCTCCACAAAATGGAAGCAGGGGAGGAGTTCAAGGGCAGGCCAGGGCCCACCTGTACAAAAAGTAACTGGTTCCACTCACCATACTCTGCTTGTAGGGTAAAATTAATTTCAATGCACAAGATCTATGCATCATTTAAGTCCCAATTAAACCCTATTTTGAGGATTTAAGTAGGACTTTAGTGATACATAGGGTATGTCTACACTACAGAATAAGGTCGAATTTATAGAAATCGGTTTTTTAGAAATCGGTTTTATAAATTCGAGTGTGTGTGTCCCCACAGAAAATGCTCTAAGTGCATTAAGTGCATTAACTCGGCGGAGCGCTTCCACAGTACCGAGGCAAGCGTCGACTTCCGGAGCGTTGCACTGTGGGTAGCTATCCCACAGTTCCCGCAGTCTCCGCTGCCCATTGGAATTCTGGGTTGAGATCCCAATGCCTGATGGGGCTAAAACATTGTCGCGGGTGGTTCTGGGTACATATCGTCAGCCCCCCGTTCCCTCCCTCCCCCCGTGAAAGCAAGGGCAGACAATCATTTCGCGCCTTTTTTCCTGAGTTACCTGTGCAGACGCCATACCACAGCAAGCATGGAGCCCGCTCAGGTAACCGTCACCCTATGTCTCCTGGGTGCTGGCAGACGCGGTACGGCTTTGCTGCACAGTAGCAGCAACCCCTTGCCTTCTGGCAGCAGACGGTGCAATACGATTGGTAGTCGTCCTCATCGTGTCCGAGGTGCTCCTGGCCGCGTCGGCTGGGAGCGCCTGGGCAGACATGGGCGCAGGGACTAAATTTGGAGTGACTTGACCAGGTCATTCTCTTTAGTCCTGCAGTCAGTCCTATTGAACCGTCTTATGGTGAGCGGGCAGGCGATACGGACTGCTAGCAGTCGTACTGTACCATCTTCTGCCAGGCAGGCAAGAGATGAGGATTGCTAGCAGTCGTATTGCACCATCTTCTGCCAGGCAGGCAAGAGATGGGGATGGCTAGCAGTCGTACTGTACCATCTTCTGCCGAGCAGCCATGAGATGTGGATGGCATGCAGTCCTTCTGCACCGTCTGCTGCCAGCCAAAGATGTAAAAGATAGATGGAGTGGGTCAAAACAAGAAATAGACCAGATTTGTTTTGTACTCATTTGCCTCCTCCCCTGTCTAGGGGACTCATTCCTCTAGGTCACACTGCAGTCACTCACAGAGAAGGTGCAGCGAGGTAAATCTAGCCATGTATCAATCAGAGGCCAGGCTAACCTCCTTGTTCCAATAACAACGATAACTTAGGTGCACCATTTCTTATTGGAACCCTCCGTGCAGTCCTGCCTGAAATACTCCTTGATGTACAGGCACCCCCTTTGTTGATTTTAGCTCCCTGAAGCCAACCCTGTAAGCCGTGTCGTCAGTCGCCCCTCCCTCCGTCAGAGCAACGGCAGACAATCGTTCCGCGCCTTTTTTCTGTGCGGACGCCATACCACGGCAAGCATGGAGCCCGCTCAGCTCACTTTGGCAATTAGGAGCACATTAACCACCACACGCATTATTCAGCAGTATATGCAGCACCAGAACATGGCAACGCGATACCGGGCGAGGAGGCGACGTCAGCGCGGTCCCGTGAGTGATCAGGACATGGACACAGATTTCTCTGAAAGCATGGGCCCTGACAATGCATGCATCATGGTGCTAATGGGGCAGGTTCATGCTGTGGAACGCCGATTCTGGGCTCGGGAAACAAGCACAGACTGGTGGGACCGCATAGTGTTGCAGGTCTGGGACGATTCCCAGTGGCTACGAAACTTTCGCATGCGTAAGGGCACTTTCATGGAACTTTGTGACTTGCTTTCCCCTGCCCTGAAGCGCATGAATACCAAGATGAGAGCAGCCCTCACAGTTGAGAATCGAGTGGCGATAGCCCTGTGGAAGCTTGCAACGCCAGACAGCTACCGGTCAGTTGGGAATCAATTTGGAGTGGGCAAATCTACTGTGGGGGCTGCTGTGATGCAAGTAGCCCACGCAATCAAAGATCTGCTGATATCAAGGGTAGTGACCCTGGGAAATGTGCAGGTCATAGTGGATGGCTTTGCTGCAATGGGATTCCCTAACTGTGGTGGGGCTATAGATGGAACCCATATCCCTATCTTGGCACCGGAGCACCAAGCCGCCGAGTACATAAACCGCAAGGGGTACTTTTCGATAGTGCTGCAAGCTCTGGTGGATCACAAGGGACGTTTCACCAACATCAACGTGGGATGGCCGGGAAAGGTGCATGATGCTCGCATCTTCAGGAACTCTGGTCTGTTTCAAAAGCTGCAGGAAGGGACTTTATTCCCAGACCAGAAAATAACTGTTGGGGATGTTGAAATGCCTATATGTATCCTTGGGGACCCAGCCTACCCCTTAATGCCATGGCTCATGAAGCCGTACACAGGCAGCCTGGACAGTGGTCAGGAGCTGTTCAACTACAGGCTGAGCAAGTGCAGAATGGTGGTAGAATGTGCATTTGGACGTTTAAAGGCGCGCTGGCGCAGTTTATTGACTCGCTTAGACCTCAGCGAAACCAATATTCCCACTGTTATTACTGCTTGCTGTGTGCTCCACAATATCTGTGAGAGTAAGGGGGAGACGTTTATGGCGGGGTGGGAGGTTGAGGCAAATCGCCTGGCTGCTGGTTACGCGCAGCCAGACACCAGGGCGGTTAGAAGAGCACAGGAGGGCGCGGTACGCATCAGAGAAGCTTTGAAAAACAGTTTCATGACTAGCCAGGCTACGGTGTGAAAGTTCTGTTTGTTTCTCCTTGATGAACCCCCCCACCCCTTGGTTCACTCTACTTCCCTGTAAGCTAACCACCCTCCCCTCCTCCCTTTAATCATTGCTTGCAGAGCCAATAAAGTCATTGCTGCTTCACAATCATGCATTCGTTATTCATTCATCACACAAATAGGGGGATGACTACCAAGGTATCCCAGGAGGGGTGGTGGAGGAGGGAAGGAAAATGCCACACAGCACTTTAAGCACAGCACTTTAAAAGTTTACAACTTTAAAATTTATTGAATGACAGCCTTCTTTTTTTTTGGGCAATCCTCTGTGGTGGAGTGGCTGGTTGGCCGGAGGCCCCCCCACCGCGTTCTTGGGCGTCTGGGTGTGGAGGCTATGGAACTTGGGGAGGAGGGCGGTTGGTTACAGAGGGGCTGCAGTGGCAGTCTGTGCTCCAGCTGCCTTTGCTGCAGCTCAACCATACACTGGAGCATACTGGTTTGGTCCTGCAGCAGCCTCAGCATTGAATCCTGCCTCCTCTCATCACGCTGCCGCCACCTTTGAGCTTCAGCCCTGTCTTCAGCCCGCCACTTACTCTCTTCAGCCCGCCACTTACTCTCTTCAGCCCTCCACCTCTCCTCCCGGTCATTTTGTGCTTTCCTGCACTCTGACATTATTTGCCTCCACGCATTCGTCTGTGCTCTGTCAGTGTGGGAGGACAGCATGAGCTCGGAGAACATTTCATCACGAGTGCGTTTTTTTTTTCTTTCTAAGCTTCACTAGCCTCTGGGAAGGAGAAGATCCTGTGATCATTGAAACACATGCAGCTGGTGGAGAAAAAAAAAGGGACAGCGGTATTTAAAAAGACACATTTTATAAAACAGTCGCTACACTCTTTCAGGGTAAACCTTGCTGTTAACATTACATACATAGCACATGTGCTTTCGTTACAAGGTCGCATTTTGCCTCCTCCCACCGCGTGAACGGATTTTGGTTGAATGCCAGCAAACATACACTGCAATGCTTTGTTCTACAGTGATTCCCCAGTACGTGTTGCTGGCCTGGAGTGGTAAAGTGTCCTACCATGAAGGACGAAATAAGGCTGCCCTCCCCAGAAACCTTTTGCAAAGGCAGAACCGCAAATGCCAGGGCAAAGTAATCCTTTCACATGCTTGCTTTTAAACCATGTATAGCATTTTAAAAGGTACACTCACCAGAGGTCCCTTCTCCGCCTGCTGAGTCCAGGAGGCAGCCTTGGGTGGGTTCGGGGGGTACTGGCTCCAGGTCTAGGGTGAGAAACAGTTCCTGGCTGTCGGGAAAACCGGTTTCTCCGCTTGCTTGCTGTGAGCTATCTACAACCTCCTCATCATCATCTTCTTCGTCCCCAAAACCTACTTCTGTATTGCCTCCATCTCCATTGAAGGAGTCAATTAACACGGCTGGGGTAGTGGTGGCTGAACCCCCTAAAATGGCATGCAGCTCATCATAGAAGCGGCATGTTTGGGGCTCTGACCCAGAGCGGCTGTTCGCCTCTCTGGTTTTCTGGTAGGCTTGCCTCAGCTCCTTCAGTTTCACGCGGCACTGCTTCGGGTCCCTGTTATGGCCTCTGTCCTTCATGCCCTGGGGAGATTTTCAGAAAGGTTTTGGCATTTCGAAAACTGGAACGGAGTTCTGATAGCACGGATTCCTCTCCCCAAACAGCGATCAGATCCCGTACCTCCCGTTCAGTCCATGCTGGAGCTCTTTTGCGATTCTGGGACTCCATCATGGTCACCTGTGCTGATGAGCTCTGCATGGTCACCTGCAGCTTGCCACGCTGGCCAAACAGGAAATGAGATTCAAAAGTTCGCGGTTCTTTTCCTGTCTACCTGGCCAGTGCATCTGAGTTGAGAGCGCTGTCCAGAGCGGTCATAATGGAGCACTCTGGGATAGCTCCCGGAGGCCAATACCATCGAATTGTGTCCACAGTACCTCAAATTCGAGCCGGCAACGTCGATTTAAGCGCTAATCCACTTGTCAGGGGTGGAGTAAGGAAATCGATTTTAAGAGCCCTTTAAGTCGAAATAAAGGGCTTCATTGTGTGGACGGGTGCAGGTTTAAATCGATTTAACGCTGCTAAATTCGACCTAAAGTCCTAGTGTAGACCAGGGCATAGACTTTGTTCAGAATCTCTGCACAGCTCAGAATTTTATCCTTAGAGAACTGCAGTGGTGATTGTGAAGTGGCTGCTCAGTTCCTATTCACTGAGGCTTAGAGTTGCGATTCAAATCACCTGGTGATTACCAAGGTTTGTGGGTGGCATAAGAACCTGGCTCTTTGCCTGAAATCAGACCAATAGCACTGCTCCAAGACTTGAAAAGGAAAAGAAAAGAACTTTCCAAAAAAAAAAAAAAAGTCAGAATGTACTCTAAAACATGTTCATAATGCTGCTATTGTACCCGATGTGTAATCATCTCAGGAGCTTGGGCAATAACCAGATCTAAAAGTTCATTCAAAAAGTTAATCAATGATCCTGAATTTGCTGGATTGAACAATTGCAGCAGCATGTACCCACACTCACCAATGGTTATACTGCTCTGTAAAGTGTTCTTTCTTCTCATCCTTTCTGTCTTTTTGAAGCCACTGCCAAACAAAGACCTAGGGTATCCATTAACCTTTCTGAAAAAGCTTTTACCAAGCGATTAAGTCAGGTGACATTTTACTAGCAATGAGTTTCCAGTAATGTTTCCATACTCATTAGTAACATACTCAGATAAAAGTTCAGTGTTGTTTCTAGGATTTAACACTTGAAGTACAAAAGAACACACTGTAGTTATGAGGGGAGGGAAATGAACAAGTCAGTCCAGAGAACAGCACTAATTCATCCACTACTCCCTATAGACATTTTTAATAAAAAGGACTTAAAATGAGGCAGCTTTGTGTATTTGTAGATTTTTTTAAAATGCTCCTTATTTATTGCTCCCTCTAAATTTTGGGCCAAATCCTCCAAATCATGACAACTTTAATCAGTGTTTACTCAGAACTAGTCTACCCCGGCAACGCTAAAGCGCTGCTGCACCAGCACCCGTAACGTGCGTGGTGTGGTTGTGGCGCAGCGTGTCTACACTAAACAACCCACCTCCACGAGGGGCGCGGCTCCCAGTGCTGGGGCACTGTCAGGGGGGTGTTTTTTCATGGCCCTGAGCCAGAAAGTTGCAGCGCTGTAAAGTGCCAGCGTAGACGAGCCCTGAGTGTTCAAGCATAAAGAGAGAAAGCGAGCCAAGACAGTGCAATATTCAGGCTTTATTCCTTGCGCCACATAGCCTGTCCTCTCACATCAAGCTTTCCCTAAAATCAGAGTTCTCTAAGTTCCTAGACATCAGTATAGTATCATACTACAACGCCCCCTCTTGGGAAGCTGTCTACCATACCGCTGAGGCAAAAATCCCACGACACCCTTGTGGGAACACCTCTGTAAGAGTGGGATATCAAACCTGTCTTCAGTTGGATAAAAAATCTCATAATAGATCTCAGCAGTCTTGTAGAATTTTCATCAACATTTTCCCGCTCACAAATTTTGAGGTTTGTATTTACCCAGAACATGCAATGATGATACTTGGGACAGGGAGACGAAGAGATGGGTAATCTAAATAATCTTTTGGTCCTAGTGAACCATCCATAATTTTTCACACTGCAATTTTCTTCTTTACCGGAGGTAAAGACACAGGGGAAGTTTATATTATGCATGCTTCAATGAGATATTTACCAACGCTCTAATGCAGATTGTCCCAATTGTCTGTCATGCTGAACACAGCAAAACTACACTCCAACTACAAGACCATCCTTCTTCACAAAACAAAGATGTATTTAGAAATAGGCTAATAGGGCTAATACACAGAGTGCTTCAGACTAAAGAGTGAGGATTTAGTTTTTCTAAACATGTCCCATAAATATTGTTAGAGAGGAGCAACAGCAAACACACACCATCCAGTACACACATTTGGCATATATTTTGTGTATTCTCTCTCTCTCTCTCTCACATACACACACACACTACCCCATGAGCAGTCTGATTTCAAAACATGGCTCCTTGGAAAGTTACCCTACTTACGTTTTCTATAATGAGGCCATTCTAATTTGTATCATCATATTATCCTCTTAATTCACACAACGGAGGGGCTTTATTATAATTAAGCTTTCTGCCTTTTCAGAGCCCTCTTTGGTTAACTATTCTTTCTTTCTTGTAAACAACAGCTCCTCCGCTGGTGTAAATCAGTGCAGCATCATTGAAAGAAAATTTGTAGTGTAGTGGCAGAGTTTTTAGCAAAAATTTTATGACTTGCCAGCTATAAATAGGGGTTGGTGGGAGAAGAAACAGTAAAACTTTACAGAAGGTTTGATTGTGAATCTGTGCCATTTCACACTAGCTGAGGGTCTGGTCAATACCTCCCAAACATTTATGTTCTTCCTTAGCTCCTGCGTGCATTAAATACGAGATACATTACAGCAGGATGCTAGCCTCACTAAGTCTGTATGACTGCATGAGGAATAAGCTCAAACATTAGGATACAGCCTTAAAGTGGGATTTTCAAAAGTACCTAAGTAATTTTGGAGCACATGTCCCATTGAATAGGTAAGTTTATAAATATAGAATTATTTCTGGTGAGTTTTCCCTCTCTGTTTTTGTAATTTAAAAGTCATTCCATAATTACTAAAAACTCAGCCACTATGCTTAGAACCCTCAGCGTGTTTGTTTAGGGTTCCTGTGCTGATTCCTGTGAAAGTGTAAGAGACAGTGAACTTGTCTCTGTCTTAGACGTCAGCAATGGCCATGACAAGGATGCTCTGACTAAGAATCCCTGAGTCACCCAGTTATTTATCAGTCACACTAGAATAAATATTGACTGTTCTTTGCACTGTCCTCTCCTAATGCAAACACATTAAAAAAGCTAAAGAAAATCAAAGTTCCTGGATAAATATGAAAAAGAGCTGGCTATTTGCTAATGGATTTTCTTGCTACATTTCAGATTTCCAGTATATATCTCAAACCCATGGTATTTGGAGAATAACTTTAAATAAAGAATACTCTGTATTAGCAACTGGTGTATTTATTAGCAAAAGTTTTGTGATCATTATTGTTATTTTTTAAAAGTTTCTGAATTAAAGAACAAAACCCAAAGGAGGTTTTTGGTTTTTTTTAAGCCATCATGAAGTTTACTTTTAGGGAAGACATTAAATACCGACATTCTTTCTGATCCTAATTATTCCACAGCACTTCCCTTAAGATTAGAACACTGCCCTGGAATTCTTGACCAAAACTTTCCCCATCCCTCTCTCCTCTCTGTTGGACAATGTGATATGCACCACAGCCCAAATTTTCAAAAGCAAATCATTCTTTGGAATATCTTAGTATTTGGATGTCCAAGCTGAGGCACCTTGAGCCTGATTTTCCGAGGATCTGAGCACCCACAATAGAAGTAACTAGGTGGATACTGTGCATATCTGAAAACAGGGTCCTCAGTGTGACTGGTTGGATACTCAAGCACTGAGGCATCCAAAACTAGAGAACATTTGAAAACATGGAGCCATTGTCTATCTGGCTACCTTCCTACAAGTGGCTGCATTGCAATGGAGGGTGAAACAATTCCTGTATATATGTAGACATGCATGCATGTAGGCTCTGATTCTGCAAAGGTAACCACTCACACAGACCTTTACGCTTGTGCAACAGTGACTTGAATGAGATCTCACATAAATATAAGGACACACTGTAGGTTCAGGGCCATAACCTGAAAACACAATCTTTCAGCATGATGTTGCTACATAAAATAAAGGTAGAGACACTGGGGAAGTTTATAACATGCATGCTTCAATGAGATATTTACAAACTCTCTAACGCAAGTCATCCCAATTGCCTGTCATGCTGAACAGAGCAGAACTACTACTGACTTTTGGTGTATGTATGGGGGCACAATTCTCCTCTCAGTTACACAAGTTCAACTCCTTGGCCCATGGAATTAAAAAAAAAAATGTATCTGGAAAGTATAATAAGATTCAACTCACTAGAAATGCTCCTGTGCTAGCAAACGCCATTAAGAAATGTTTTTATTTATTCTTTTTATTAAGCAAACATAAAAAAGTCAACTTGGGTTTAAATCTGATAACATTTTTTTACATTCCAATTTTTTATTTAAAAAAGTAAATAGATTAAAAAAAACTGAACAGATGGGCAATAAGTAAACATTTGTCAATTCTTTTCCTACTTAATCAGCTATGAAGTAAACCCATAGAGCAAATTCTCTGTTAAAGAGCAGGAGCATGCAATTTACACATCTACCTTGTAAATATTATATCTTTGTCAGCTCACCCTAGCACAGGGAACTAAGCTGGTTATATACCAGGCTTTTTACCACACACAAATGATTATGTGTTGTTTGGCCCTGGCTAAATTAAAAACTTTAGCTGATATATATTCTTTAAACAGTGAGTTCATAATTAATACTCTGAAGACAGCCCCGGTTAGTATCAGTTTAAGTGAAGCAAAATATGACATGAATTTTATATTAGTTTATCACTACATCTGTTTCAGTGAAAATAATCAGAGCCTGCTCTGAATTCTGAAGCCTGTCTTTTACAGAAGGCATCTCAGATACGATACTCTTGTACAGTAGGATGAATGAGTTATGGCCTAAGTAGGTGTTTACTTCGATATTGTACCAATATGTGTTTTTCACTCAGTCAACAGAAATTGTATTTTGTACAGAAACAAGTTCCAAATAAATAAATATTATTACCAGATGTCATCCTGTGGGATATACCCTCAGGAGTTATATTTTCCCCTTGTAATGTGGAAAGTTGTTCAAAGCATGGTGGCTCTGTAAGTATTGTGGGAAGTATGTTCTTTCTTTTTAATGTGAAAGACAAAAAAATTCAATACATGATAGCATTTAGGTGCTTGACTGATAAAATCTCCCTCTCATGTCCTTCTTACACACACACATGGGGGTTTACCATATGCCTGAGTAAGACATTTGTTTACGAAAACAAAAGGATCCAGTCTCATGAAATGCATTTTAAAAAACAGACCAGTTCTAAGAAAAATATGTTGCATTTTTAAAGGTTTTAAATGTATTCATGATTGTATGAACTATATTCTAACTGGTTCAA